GTACCATACGGGGTGCATTTGAGTTACTAGTGTTCCATTAGTGCGGGTAGGGGCATTGCTTGCTTGTCATATGGCATTTGAATTAGAAGCTATAAGATAAGACGCAGGTACGGTTAGGATGTGTAACGCGTATCCATCCATCAGCTGCCGTGACAACACACGGTGGTTAGAATAAGTTGTGAGAGGAACCGAGTCTGTAGGTCTCCCAAGAAAATGATGAAGATATGCACCAAATCACCTTATGAAGAGCGCCTCCAATCACTTGACCTCTACTCATAGTATAGACGTCTTAGAGGTGACCTAATGGCTTACAATAACTTTAACACTTATGGACATCCCTAAAAAACCTGCTTAAGTTTAGTCCCAATACCAACCTAAGGGGCAACACCCATAAATTGGAGACACAACTCTTACTCTTTGGAAGTTGTCAAATGCTGAAATTGTCTGACGACTGAGGTAGTCCAAGCGACTTCCCAGGAGTCCTTTAAGAGGCAAGTGGATTTGTTCTTAAGGATTAAGGATAGTATCATACTATGATTTACCAATTTCTCTTTTATTGTTAACATACCTAGGTTCCTGCCTGGAGGTTTTGGTGACCCCCTTGCTACTAGACACGGAAGCCTGTTAAGCGAAAGCTCCTTCCATTCCGTCCACAACCATTTGAACACATGAACTAGGTGCTGAGAGACTCGCTTGTGACAAGTTTCTTGCGACTATTAAGTAGATAAGACAAAGTAGCATTAGATTTAAAAATTTATGCGAGAAATTTCATTAGGAATCGAATATCAAACAAAGGTTTAAACCAAGTTCCCGTTTAAAAGTTGTATTGGTAATGTTATTCTGCAGTTTTTGTTATTTTTTCCAAACGAAAGAGTAAAAAAGTCAAAAAAATATTGGAAGTGGTTGTGAGACTAAAATGGACGTCCAGCATCCTTTTTATAATCTGCTGTTCGTTGGGTCTCCCGTAAACAGTTCCATAGGGCCATAGTTTCAAGGGCGAAACAGTTTCTAGGGTCTGTGAAGGCTCACTCCTGTTGCATTCTAAATGAAAACAATAGTGATGAATTTAGTCAAAATGTGGAATAGATAAATAACCAAATTTATGCAGTTGTGACTTACCTTGAGTTCATGAATATTAGATAAGGTCAGCTAGTATCACTTGCGCAAAGCATAACATGGGCTAAGTATCGTATTGCAATGCTTTTATTATTTTGCTCCCATTTAAGTATTCCCATGCATCTGAGTCTAGTTTGACAGGAAAATATACAAGCAGAGTAAGTGTATGATAAACTAAAAGTCCCATTTGCCAAAAAGATTCTTAACATTTGTCCACAGCCAGCTGCATTTAATTGAGACACAGAACACTCATCTTCTAGGACTGTATACTGCTGTTTTGCGGGCAACTAAAAGCTCAGACACTTAGTTATCTTGCTACCGATGTTATTGCTGGGGAAATTGTTTAATGACAGTGATCATGAAATATGGTCAGTGATAGATGTACAGTTTAGAAATAAACACCAAACATACTTATCGCTATCGTATAATGTATGACAGCAACAGCATCAAAGGCACGTTTCTTCCTATTTTTAATCAGAATGATCTGAATCCGTATACACATTAGAAACAGGCAACTCTACTTACTAAACTGATCTGTTTCGTTACAGGCTTCAAGCACTATACTTAAGTATATTATAATTCTTTCAACTAAACTGAATTATACTACAACCAAGAACACTAAACTAAGCAAGTGTCATAGTTATTGTTTCGCTTGCAAAGACATGTTCCTCAAAGTAGTTAAATGAACATAATTAAGCCGATAAAACCAAAACACGAAATATAGGCCAGTTGAACTTACCTAAGAAAAAAAAGAAGGATACATATAAACTGCTTTCATACTGAAGACAACAGGCAGTTGTTCATAGAAACACAGTTTACAGTACAAAAAAACTTTTCTTCAGTAAAATCATGCACTGACAGTCTATCTGGAAACAATCAACTATGTGAATTAACTTACTATGACTTGAGATATCATCCCATCGTGCGATTGACGTACAGTGTAACGCAGTCAGACGTGGCGAATAAAAATTAAAAACAGAGCAAAATTAATTACATAATCTAGTTATTTAATTAAAAATACATTATGAAATGACAAAATCTGTGGTTACTTGAACGCACAGATGACTCTGTGCGATACATTAAGTTTACATGGTTGCGTTGCGGATAAGATCACCCTTAAATAATATGATAAACTGGTCTAAAGAGTGGTTGATGCCTATCAATGCGGAAAAGTGTGTCTACATGCACTTTGGGATTCAAAGGTTAATAGTTACAACATAGGGGATGTGTCGTTACCCGTAGTCCGGTCTCAAAAAGGATCTAGGGGTGACAGTGAGTCATGATCTTAAGACGACGGCCCATTGCCGGGAGGTCGCAGTTAAGGGGTTTCGAACCCTCTGGGCATTAAAAAGGACATTCACTAAGCTTGATACTACCATGTTCACCACATTATACACATCCTTAGTGAGAACTAAGTTAGAGAACTGTGTTCAGGCTGCAAGCCCCTGTTTAAAAGGTGACTCAGACATACTAGAAAAGGTACAGAGGGCAGCTACGCGTGCAATTCCGGAACTCCGGGGTTTATCATATAAAGAGCGGCTTGAAAAACGGAACCTCTTTACTCTGTCCTATCGCAGATCAAGGGGAGATCTAATATTGATATACAGAATACTGAGAAATGATTTCGGACCTAACTTATTCTCTTTCTTTCTTCCCACTAGATCGGGACACCTCAGAGGACATAGCAGGCGAGTAGAAAAGCGAAGAACGAACAAAATACCCGTGGCAAACAGGTTTTCACACCGAGTCATCAATACTTGGAACCTGCTGCCTGAAGCAGTGGTGTCCGCACCTTCAATTGACTCTTTCAAGAGAAGACTGGACACTCACAGAAGCATACTAGAAAAGGAATAACATAGGCCGTTGGCCTTCTGTCCTTACTACACAAATCCGAATCTGAATCTGTGATACTAACATAGCGTGACACACTTTTGGTTGTTCACAAATACACTACTACACACACACGCTCCTTGTTCTATTCTCACGCGTTATCGAGCTAATCGCATTGTGAATCGAATATTATCCACATTTCAGACTGCTGTGCCATTTCTATTACATCCTACGTCAAAGAAACTTACTGGAGTCATATTTACCTTATTGGAGTTATTACTCATAAATAATTGTGGATTTTTGGGACCAAAACTCAACGGAACACGCAACAACTAGCTGATTTAAGTAACGTCCCTGAACTTTTATTTTGTGTTACTTATTTATAAATTGTTATTGTTACAATAACATTTGAACGTAATAACTTTATCGCCTATTTTTGGTTATTATAGTTTTGGTCCACAATTCTGATTCCAGATCAGAAGGCTGAGTGTTCGAATCACGTCGCGCTCACCAGATAGTTGTGGTGGACCAAAAGTATAATAATTGACTCGTCTAAGAGTGGATCAGACATTCTCAAAAGCTTACTAGAAAAGGATTAACATATGTCGTAGGCCTTCTGTCCTTTCTACCCAAATCTGAATCTAAATTTCAAAAAGGGCAGTGATTTTTGTACTTGTTGTGATTATACTTGTTTTTGGTACTTATTGCACTAAAAAGCATTCTTGGTCTACTTTAACTATGAGTTCGAAATTTTTGCTACATTTGGTCTTGGGTACCTGTTTTTAGTTCTTGACTAAGACTTGTGTTCACATTGTTATCGTTTTTTGTTTTTAAACCTTTTAAATCGAATTACAATGGTTGGTAAGACTCACAAATGTGGGCAACCAAATTGTTTGTTCTCCGTTGAGGAGGGAATGCAGTGTGACGACTGTAAAAAGTGGTATCACAAAATGTGTACACGACTAAGTCCGACGGCTTACAAAAGATGCTCGAAGCCTAACTCGCATTGGCTTTGTGTGTTCTGCTGTACGGATAAAAAGGTACTAATACAGGAGGCTATGGGCTTATTGGCTTTGGCCTGCAAGAAAAACGATGGTGGAAGCACTGATAACAGGAGTACTGACGATGAAGAATGTATCAGTGTAGTAAGTGCTGCTACTGGACCCATTAAACACCTGACTGCGGTTGACGGGAACGTGAAGTCTCCGTTGACATTAACGAGAAATGAAGTGTCGCCTGATATTGACATCGGCAGTCATACACCTCTAGTGGAAATAGAAGATCCGGATAAAACTCACCGTTCCACATAGTCCAGGTGTGGCTGTTCTGAGTGGTGACAAATGGACTCCGGTAAGAAGAAAAAAAAATAAGAAGAAAAAGGCTGTAGGCAAAACGCAGCTGGTCAGCAAGACATTGGAAGGGACTTTATCAGAAGAAAAATCCTCACCGCGTGAAAAGACAGATCTCTCTGAGAGATCAGTCATTTTTCATAAGATAAGAGAATCTTCAGACACTGAACCAAAGGCAAGATTTGAACATGATCTCAATCATATTAAGACATCATTAAGTAAACTACTCCCAGATACAGTTTCAGGAGTTAGTATTTGTAAGCTTTATAGAATAGGAAGAAAGGTGGATTCTGAAAGTCCTCAGAAAAACCGCCTCCTAAAGGTTACATTCAATACGGTGGAAGAAAGGAACCTGGTTCTAAGTAATTCACGTAAACTGATTGGATCCGGAATATATGTCCGTGAGGACTTCAGCCTAGCTGATCGTATTAAGAGAAGGGCTGCAGAAGCGGAAGCAGGCGAGTAGAAAAGCCAAGAACGAACAAAATACCCCTGGCATACAGGTTTTCACACCGAGTCATCAATACTTGGAACCTGCTGCCTGAAGCAGTGGTGTCCGCACCTTCAATTGACTCTTTCAAGAGAAGACTGGACACTCACAGAAGCATACTAGAAAAGGAATAACATAGGCCGTTGGCCTTCTGTCCTTACTACACAAATCTGAAAATCTGATCTGAATCTGAATCTAAATCGTAGCTGTTTGTGGCGGTGTATTTGGCTTTTGTGCTACCATTTGGCGTGCAACAATGGATCAGAACGTCCAAATAACTTTTTACACGAAATCCAAACAGTAGGTCTTCAATAAAACTGTGAAATACCTCCAAGGTATTCTGTTCCCTCCGCACCGATTGCAGTACCACAACACACGACTGTTGAAGAACTCAATAATTTAGTCAAAGTTCTGCTAGATGGTAATATGCTTTTCTTACACATTATTGTGCAGAAACCAGAGAGTCTAGGACATATCCGGAATTTACGTTTCTCGTGGACAATTTGATTCTAACTTCAACTTTGCATGAATACTTATCAGAAAAAGAAGTTATATCTGTGAGTCCTTGTTTAGTTAGATGTCATTGCTTTAGGAAACCATTGACATTGAGTTTTGTCCAAAACAAGAACCACCAAAATACGAAAGAGAATATGTACAGGATGACTTGATCAGCTGTGTCAAACGCTGTGATAAGTAGTAAGTAGTTAAAATGCGGTTAATGCTTCCTACTGATAATTGTTTAATAATTTTGTCAAATAAGGTTATAAAATTAAGACGGTAAAAGCGATCTTTGATTAAACATTTACTCAGTAGCAGACTGATGGTGGTTGCAAATCCGTAAAGTAATTGTTAGCAACTCGCTTAATTAATACCACATTGTTTTTTTTACTTCACAGCAGATTGTCAAAAAATGATTAGCTCTCGGATAACGTGACTACTGAATTGGAAAGACAGTTGGTCTTACACTCTTAATTCATAACCTTTGTTTTTATTAAATTATTTGTTTGTGTTAGTTTATTGTAATTATAGATAATCTGCTAATGAGTTTAGAACAAATTGTGTAGCCTATATAAGTAGCTTATTTGGCTGATGTATGTAACGTGCTGCTTGAGCCCTCGAATGTAATAAGTTTTGCCATGTTCTAAATAAGCAAAATATACCTGTGAAACTTACATATTGGTTTTAGAACTTCAATAAGTAGCAACCGTAGTTTAGTTATTTACTCTATCGTGTGTGTATATACTGTAACTGTGACAAACGAGTAGCTTAACACATAACGCTGATTGTGTTTACCCGTTTGCCCAGTCAAGTTTCGTTCACTTAACTTTAAGCCACATTGTGTGGGTTAGTAGATTCACCAGGTCTCTGACTTAGGTGAGATGCGGTCCAAACCTTTGACCTATTTCTGAAGTTTATGTGTTTTAAGCACTAGGCTACAGCTTCAAACAATTCTACAGTGATGTGATATTTAAAGCCACGGATTGATTAGCAGTAAATGTGCCGGTATACAGTTATATCCTAGCTCTTGTAAGACAGATACACCAGAACACGTCTTAAATTACGCTAATGACACTAAAATATTATGTTTTCGCACTTCACCACTTAGGATACAGATTAAATTATCATGAAACCCAAACCACACTGTTCAACCGGTTGATATCGACTAACTTTCCTCGTTTTTCTCTGAATTTGTTTTTTTTGTCAGCATTCTAACAGGTGGTTACGATGGTACACTGCATATATGGAGCTTGGATAGCAAAAGTGCCATATTATCTATGGAGTTGGAGGAAAAAGTTAAATGTGTAGAATGGATCAGTCTAGGTAGGTCTCCTATTGTGCTCTTGGATTTTGTCAGCACCTTTATATGTGGTCATATTAATATGTAGAATCAATATAGCTTTGAATGATTTTGGATTTACCAGGACTCACAATTATAGGGGGCATATGTGCTGTTTTGAACTGTTAGTAGTATTATCATGCGTTACAAATATATATTCCTTATTGCTTGATTTAGGGAATTCACCCAAGTTTTGTAGTCACTTCGTAGTGAATAATATAAACTATACTACTTGGTTGTTACCTAGGGGTCATGTTTATATTCTAAGTATATAATGTCATTATCAAACTAATTGACCTAATCTCGCTTCTTGACAATATGATATCAAATATTGCAGAGTCATTCTTTTTGGGCTCTCTTTTACAATTGGAAACAACTGAAAAGGAGCCCAAAGAGAATCACTCAGCACTTTTTTATATTATGTTGTACGAGGGCGATTGTCCAGAAGCCATGAGCAATTTCGATCTTAATTATCGGAAGAAAAATCGTATTTGAAACATCAAGGTCACTTGTGCACCTTGATATGCTCAAGACCACTGCCCCGAGTAGTTCATTGACAACATCTGTTTGGTTAAACCAAGTCTAAATCTTTGCGTTCCTGCACAATACTTAGATCCAGTGTTTTCTGTAGTTGGCTTCCAGTTATGTGACTCTCAGATTTCCCAACAAACCTTTATGCATAAAATTTAAGGCTTGTAGTGTAAACGTTCTAAACGACCCTTCATTCTGTTAAAAATGTGTTTGTATTCATGATGTTGTCTACCAGAGTGTTGTAAAATGATAATCCAGATTAACAGAAAAAGTAAGCTCAGTATAGCGTAGTTATGAAACAGAAATAAGAAACAGTAGTTTTGACTTGTAAATTTGACAGAAACAGATACATCACATCCTAGCAGACCTGTTCAGTACACAACAACTCTTAACACGGTTTTTACCCGTTTCAGCTATCAAAAACTGAAAATAATCTATGATAACTGAACATCAAATAGGTTCATTAACTACCGCTATCTTTGTCGATTCCATTCAAACTAGCATGCGAATTGATAATATTTTATGTATTGTTCTAGACAATAAGTCACTAAGAATTCGAGTTTCTTAGAACCTCAAATAGTTTTCATCTTGTGGTTTAAAAATTCGAAGTTGTTTACTTCAAAACTCGACTTGAATATTATGTTTTGATTATCAAGAAGTAAATCTTCGTACATTTCTGTACTCAAGGATCTGTTTGTAAAATATTACTTTGAATATTTGCGGAGCCAAACCGGCAAGTGCAGGCTGGTTTCAGACTTGGACGCGGATCTATTGACTAAACATTTACTTCATCAGTTCTTGTAACATAGGCATGGTTACTTAATTCCGACTAAAGTGCAGAAGTAATAGCCATTCGAATTAAAAACGGGGACTGTATAAAAGGAATATGTTTTTTCAACAGCTTTATTTGTCGGCCTTAGGAGGGCGTTCGACTTCGTTGACCAAGAGGTTATATAGCATTGTCCGTCATTAAAAGGCGTACTAAGGAATTACATAAACTTTTTAAAGGCAGTCTACTCAAACATTACTATTCAATTCAGAGATTGTGGCGAACTATCAACCTAAGGTGGTGTTTGTTAGGTCTATGTACTACTTCCCTTTTTATTTAATTTAGTCATAGAATACTTACTTACGCCTGTTACTGCTCGTAGGGGAGCATAAGCCGCCCACAATCATTCTCCATCCAACCCTGTCCTGGGCAATCCTTTCCAGTTTTTTCCAGTTGTTATTCATCCTTTTCATATCTACTTCTATTTCCCGACGTGACGTGTTCTTTGGCCTTCCTCTTCTCCGCTTCCCCTCAGGATTCCAAGTTAGGGCTTGTCTCGTGATGCAGTTTGGTGATTTCCTCAATGTATGTCCTATCAATTTCCGTCGTCTTTTCCTAATTTCCTTTCATCTGGAATCTGGTTTGTTCCCTCCCACAGTAGGCTGTTGCTGATGGTATCCGGCCAATGGATGCTGAGTATCTTGCGTAGACAACCATTTATAAGTCATATAACATGCAAATGATATAGTGGTATTCCGTGGAGATACAGAAATTAAGCAGTCTTCCGGCTCCCTTGAGTGTCAATAGAATGTTTTGGACTGGTTTGTATCATCCATCACCCAGAGTGATTATTTATTTGTTATTATTTATTTGAACACATAAATATTGGTACAAGGGGGCACAAAATATATATGCGCCACACAAAACAATGAGAATGAGGAGAAAAAAGAGGTAAGGAGCGTAAAAGAAGAAAAAGAAGAGGAACAATAACGACCAGATTAGTGTAAGGAAGTGTAATAATAATAATGATAATAATAATAATAATAATGGGGGAAACGGAAAGGTACAACCAGAAGAAATCTTTCAGTTAAAGGAGACACAACCACTTTTTACGAAGAAAGTAAAAGAAGGTTACAGCAGGGTCGCCACTGGCTTCTATTCTGAGCCATATCTGACAACGTCTCTAGCCAGTGTCGCACCATCTCTAGGACCCCAACCAGGGAGTCGTGAAGGACCAACAGAAGCCAGCCCTTTGCAACTTTCTTTCATACCACGACACCGTGTCATATACTGACCACCTCTCCGCTTTCTCCAACCAGTCCCAGAGTCGGCAAATAATACACGACGTGGAATTCTCTGGGACGACTCGTAGAACATGTCCAAGCCACCGAAGTCGATGTTTCAAGATGGTGACACTAATTGCATTATCGTCTCTGTGCCCGATCACAAGATGCCGAACCTCTGCATTACTACTGACATGGTGTTGCCACTGGATGTCAGCAATCCTTCGGAGACAACGATGATCGAACACAGATAGTCGTCTAACGTTCTCAACTCGGAGAGACCAGGATTCACAAGCATAGAGCGAAACTGCTCTCACCGACGCGTTGTAGATCCGATCTTTTACAGCCAGACTGACATCACGAAGGCGCCAAAGGTGGCCCAGATTGGCATAAGCCGCTCTGGCTTTCACTATACGTACATTGATCTCATCACTCACACCCCCACCAGCACTTATGCAGCTACCCAGATACACGAACTTCTCGACTACTATCTGCTCACCATCCAGGGTGAGTACAGGATTAGAATCCTACCGGTCTTGTGGAAGTACTTTGCACTTCGAAGGTGCGAAGCACATACCATACCTACGGACATTGATTGCCAACTGATTAAGTGCGGATTGCATGGCTTGAGCATTATCGCACAGTAAGACAATGTCATTCGCATACTCAAGGTCGAGAAGTCTTTCTCCAGGCAACAGATCCACACCACCATTACTTACATCCATCAGAGTTGTTTCCAGAATGTCATCGATGGCAAAGTTGAAGAGGAGTGGTGAGATTGGGCAACCCTGTCTAACCCCACTGCTCGAATGGAACAATAGAGAGAGGTGGTTGTATGCCCACACTCTACCTGAGGTGTTTGTATATAGGGCCTTTAAGATGTTAATAAACTTCTCAGGCACACCCTTCTTCAATAGACAATCCCAGAGAACAGTCCTGTCCAACGAATCGAAGGCAGCCCTGATGTCAAGCAATACTAAGATTGTTGGCCTTTGATAAGTATGACGGTGTTCTAACATTTGGCGGAGGGTGAAGATATGATCAATACATCCTCGACCAGAATGAAAACCAGCCTGCTCCTCGCGAGTCAATATTTCTCGGGTTTTGAACAACCTACGATGTATGACGGAAGCCAGTAGCTTGGACGCAATCGGAAGTAGACTTATCCCCCGATAGTTGTTACAGGAACGACATGAACCCTTTTTAAAGATAGGGACAACTATCGACTCACTCCATGACGTTGGTACACTCTCTAGTTCACAGACCTTTGTAAACAGCGTCGTCAGTCCCTTAGTCAAAAAGTCACCACCATCTTTCAAAAGAGTCGGATGTAAGTCATCTGGACCAGGTGATTTGTAGCGCTTCAAGAGTTGGAGTTCCTTGCGGACTTCCGCCTCATTTGGTGGATCAGTCGTCACCGGCCATGGAGGGCAGGACAGTCTGACCGATGCTGCTGGAGCAGCGGGCCATTTGAACTGCCCTTCGAAGAATTCTGCCCGTCGACCAAGACGTCGATGGATGTTAGTGATTGGCATCCTGTCATCCTCGCAGATTGTTTCGCTCGTACGTGGAAGTCACATCATCGTCTACACCAACTCATTGCATCGTAACAATCACAATCAAGCATGATAAACAACAAAAGAAACAGTTAATACAAAAGAGTTCAATACCTGAGAATCAGTAAAAATATTCCCAATAAGAGGGGATAATATATATATCTGCGCGAGTTTTACAAAGGGCAGTGATTCCGTACGTGTTGTGATTATCCTTGCTTCTGCGTAATTGTTGCATCAAAATCATTCTTGGTCTACTTTATATTAAAGTACTTTAGTTAAACATCGATACTCGCAAAATTTTGACTTGTGGAAACCTAGTAGAATTCAGATCTACTTCGATATTAGTACTGCTCTCATAAAACACCTAATCATAAAACTGTTTATTTATCATAATATAACTGCGTAACCCATAAACCTCACGTCCAATTCACATCATCGTCTACACCAACTCATTGCATCGTAACAATCACCAATAAATGATGGAGAACATGCTTAGGCTAGAGATAGAACAATATATGTAATATGAATAAAGGATACAAGGTATCATTCAACAGGGACCACGCCTGCAAGGTTGAGTCATGCCATCCGATCAACTCGAAATAATTCTATTCATTGTTCCCTCCTTCTTCAACGTTGAGTTATTCTCCGCGTTAAATGTTGAACACCTATTTTCCCAATTGTCTCGTGTTCAGCTTTGATGATTGTGTAGATAGAGCCCAATGCCACTACACTACTCTCCCACCAGAATCAACGTGACGTTGCTTCGATACCAAATTGAATGGGATTGTCGCGCGCCGGAGGTTACCAAGAATAATAAGAATCCTCCGGGTATTGATAAGCTGAAAGATTAATCAAAAAGAAGGCGGCAGAAACTGATCGAGAAATACATGTAATAATTTTAAAATGTCTGTTTTGATGCTTAACACGCTCAAAATGAAAACCTACATGAATATTATTTATATGTCAAGAATGGCGGGATCATTACAATGAAGAACGATTTAGTATATGGATATTTTAACAAGTCACATTAAAATAATAACATTTGGTTATTGGCTCAAGTTGTAGGCCATATAAGTAATTTTAAAATGTTTGGTTTTATTCTTAACACGCAAAAAAATAAAAGCCTATACGAAGATTATATGGGCTAAAAAATGGGATAAAAATAATAAAATGATTCCGTGTAGGGATATTTTAGTAAGTCACCGTAAGATGCGTGTTAATAGCTTAACTTATAGGTAGTACATATTTTGTTTTTAGAAATACTAAAAACGATCAATATTGTAGAAAGGTTAATATTGGTACTATTTTTGGTTTAAATTATAAAGTCAAATAGCGTTTATGCCAGTGAGCTGTCCATATGAAGTAGCAGAAGTTTGTAGCGTTAAAGAATCCGAGTTGCCTAATTATATTATAAATTTCAATTCAAAAATATTCGTCTAGTGTTAATTTTAGTAGTAGGTTCCGGAGTTTTGATTTTAAATGTTTATTTAGCCAACAACTACCTGATAGTTTAGTTATTATGTTAGTGCATTATGATAGCACTTAAATTCGGTGACTTTATTATCCAAACTATGTTCGTGTTTTTAGGCTATTAATATGATAGACCAATTCATAAACCCAAATACGTATAGCAATAATGACTATGACGGGTTTATTGAAGATGTTACAGGCGATTCGTATGACGTGTGTTTCCTCTTTCAGTATGGTAAACCTTTCCCTTTTGCCGATGACCTAAAAGTAGTTTATTCATTTTCTTCTACCGCCAAAGAAAGCTATATTTCAGCGGTAATCCAAGAAGAAATAAACAAGTTATACGAATGGACTGTTTCGTGGAATTTACCACTTAATGTCGACAAAAGTGGATCTATTCACATTGGCCGCTGCCTTAACCAAAATTTGGCTATACACAAACAGACACTGAAACCTCTTAACACTGTTCGTGACTTGGGTTTAAGATATAGCAACAGTTTGAACTTTTCTGAGCACATTGCATCTCAAGTATCCAAAGCTAGAAAGCTCATCGGTCTGTGCACGGTAGCAGTACACGGTCCCTGTTATCTGTCCTGCGACCAACAATTTCCCATCGGCCACCTAAATGATTCTCTTCTGTGCTTAGACGCCCGACCTGAGCATTCGAATCTCCGTCTAGTACTACAATAGCTGTCGAACGCACTTTCTGGAGAAGAACAGATAACTGGTGGTAGAATTCATCCTTGATTGCATCCGGGCTGCAATCTGCCCCAAAGTGCCCTGGTACGGCCGAGAGTGAGGAGAGTCAGCTCTCCCTCTCGAAATGCTCTCACATGGCCATGCGTATATAGGTTCTGCCAGGGAAGTCCTGCTCACTCCCTTCTCGTGGTGGTGTTGTTTACGAAATTGAGAGGACGAAACGCGTATGTCCGGCGCATTAACCGGGTTGGTGGACATGGAGAGTCCACCCAGGGGAGTTGGAAAACCCTGATTCCAAACCAATGGTGCACATGGGCTCCAGTATCCTAAAGGAATAAATGGCGTATGAACCAGTCGTTGGTCACCGGCTTCCATGGGACTGCATCTCGTTACGATGCTCCACTGCCTTGTGGATCAGACCTTCAGGTCAAAGGCTCGGAGTGTGGTTCCCTAAGAAAACTACCTGTTTTGGTTCGAGTGCTAGTGCAGTACTACAGCCCTTACACAAATCGAATGAGGAAGTGTGGTGTAATTCATTTGGTGCCTCCTTGTACCAATATCTTTGTGTTAAAATAAATAAAATAAACTGTCGGGGCATAAGCAGAGATGATGAATAGACATCGTTTCTCACGCCGATTCCTTCTCACTTTGATGGAACTTTCTAATCTAACAGCACATAACCGACTGTTAATGGCGATCCAATAGATTAGTGGTGCCTCAGCTCTAGCGCTTAGTGCGATGAAGATGCCACCGGATAAGCGCACGTGAAACAAGCTTTTTGAAGCGACAGATGGAGAGCAAATTTGTAGTACTTCACCAGTCTTGAATACGGGTCTCGGATAGACAACAAACATCGATATTAAGACTTTCCAAAGACATAGCCAGCCTTATCTGTTGTCCGACTTGCATAAGTGTGCGAACGTTGAAGGCAGCCAGTTTGAATGATGCACGTGGTTTCAGAAAATCTGCTTCAATATTCGTATTTGGTGGTAGCATACAATTTTCAACCGGGCAGTGACTCGAGAACGTTTAGATAGAGCCAAATTTCCACCATAGACGAGCTGCTGTATAAGTCGAAAAATAAGGACATGTAAAGTGGAAATAAAAGAGAGTGAATACATGATGTACTAAATAATAATATTGATGATAATAATGTGAATTGTTTGACTCTAAATCGAAGCGAGAATAGAGTTTTCAGTAAATACCATCATTCTCATTATATTTGTGTGTGGGCTGTGATACTGCACGGGTGCCCAGACCGAAGCAGGTGGTTTTCTTAGGGATATCATCCTCCAATCTACACAATAAGGAGAATATTCTAGCGATTCCGAGAACCCACACAAACTTATGCCAGAATTTTTTCGTTATTCGCTACTCAACCATGTGGAACAGACTGTCAGTGAACTTCCGTTGCAGTGAAACTAAAACCCTGTTCAAAAGTCTTCTTGATGATTTTCTTTTCGAAAGTGGATCGTGTCACCTATTGAATATCAATGTATTCAATAATGACTTATACAAACAAGGTCCGTCATCCATCTAATTGACTGAAAAGCAAAATGTAACCTTTGAAACTTTTCACGTCTGTTTTATTTTATTCCCGTTCATCTTAATATATGTAGTCTGCTTATGTTCGTATTTATAATTATTACTATTATTAATATCATTATTAAATAAGAAAGATTAGTTAAGCGAAGATTTCTCTTTTCGGCGAATTCATTTTGAAAGCTGTACAATTGCAAATATAAATACTTATTTTTACAGGGTGATAGTAGTACTGATAATAAACTTGTTATACACCATGTAAAACTGGTGACTGAGGTTAAATAAACAAAGATATTAAAAAATTTAAAAAAAATTAAAACAAGGAAAGTTTAATAATCGCTTACATACTTAACTCAAATTTATTTTACCTTCACCATATATATGCGGGAATTCTTTTATCTTATTCATTTCGTGCACACGGATAAAAACATGTACATTTATGTAATAGTATACAGAGTGAAACCGGATATTAGTATAAACATTTGCTCAAAAATAATTAAGAATGGTGCTATGAAAGTCAGAATTAATTGCTAAACATAATCAAATACAAATTTCAGTCTGACCCAGAGAGGTTCTAACAGTCCATTCGTATAACTTGTTTATTTCTTCTTGGATTACCGCTGAAATATAGCTTTCTTTGGCGGTAGAAGAGAATGAATAAACTACTTTTAGGTCATCGGCAAAAGGGAAAGGTTTACCATACTGAAAGAGGAAACACACGTCATACGAATCGCCTGTAACATCTTCAATAAACCCGTCATAGTCATTATTGCTATACGTATTTGGGTTTATGAATTGGTCTATCATATTAATAGCCTAAAAACACGAACATAGTTTGGATAATAAAGTCACCGAATTTAAGTGCTATCATAATGCACTAACATAATAACTAAACTATCAGGTAGTTGTTGGCTAAATAAACATTTAAAATCAAAACTCCGGAACCTACTACTAAAATTAACACTAGACGAATATTTTTGAATTGAAATTTATAATATAATTAGGCAACTCGGATTCTTTAACGCTACAAACTTCTGCTACTTCATATGGACAGCTCACTGGCATAAACGCTATTTGACTTTATAATTTAAACCAAAAATAGTACCAATATTAACCTTTCTACAATATTGATCGTTTTTAGTATTTCTAAAAACAAAATATGTACTACCTATAAGTTAAGCTATTAACACGCATCTTACGGTGACTTACTAAAATATCCCTACACGGAATCATTTTATTATTTTTATCCCATTTTTTAGCCCATATAATCTTCGTATAGGCTTTTATTTTTTTGCGTGTTAAGAATAAAACCAAACATTTTAAAATTACTTATATGGCCTACAACTTGAGCCAATAACCAAATGTTATTATTTTAATGTGACTTGTTAAAATATCCATATACTAAATCGTTCTTCATTGTAATGATCCCGCCATTCTTGACATATAAATAATATTCATGTAGGTTTTCATTTTGAGCGTGTTAAGCATCAAAACAGACATTTTAAAATTATTACATGTATTTCTCGATCAGTTTCTGCCGCCTTCTTTTTGATTAATCTTTCAGCTTATCAATACCCGGAGGATTCTTATTATTCTTGGTAACCTCCGGCGCGCGACAATCCCATTCAATTTGGTATCGAAGCAACGTCACGTTGATTCTGGTGGGAGAGTAGTGTAGTGGCATTGGGCTCTATCTACACAATCATCAAAGCTGAACACGAGACAATTGGGAAAATAGGTGTTCAACATTTAACGCGGAGAATAACTCAACGTTGAAGAAGGAGGGAACAATGAATAGAATTATTTCGAGTTGATCGGATGGCATGACTCAACCTTGCAGGCGTGGTCCCTGTTGAATGATACCTTGTATCCTTTATTCATATTACATATATTGTTCTATCTCTAGCCTAAGCATGTTCTCCATCATTTATTGGTGATTGTTACGATGCAATGAGTTGGTGTAGACGATGATGTGAATTGGACGTAAGGTTTATGGGTTACGCAGTTATATTATGATAAATAAACAGTTTTATGATTAGGTGTTTTATGAGAGCAGTACTAATATCGAAGTAGATCTGAATTCTACTAGGTTTCCACAAGTCAAAATTTTGCGAGTATCGATGTTTAACTAAAGTACTTTAATATAAAGTAGACCAAGAATGATTTTGATGCAACAATTACGCAGAAGCAAGGATAATCACAACACGTACGGAATCACTGCCCTTTGTAAAACTCGCGCAGATATATATATTATCCCCGCTTATTGGGAATATTTTTACTGATTCTCAGGTATTGAACTCTTTTGTATTAACTGTTTCTTTTGTTGGAGAATCTTTTAACTGTATCGCACAGGCTGTACCGTTTGTGGTATTTTGTATGTTTTATATAATTTGTTCTATTTCCTAAATTAGAACTGTTTAAATTGAGCTGAAAGTTTGTATTTTGATATGATTTAGTACGAGTATCTCAAAAATGCTTTGTACGCTATACAGAAGAACGTAGTCTGGTCTAATCGAATAAATTTTGGTTCATCAGTCCTGCGTTCAAACCGAATTTTGGCAGTTCAGTCGTTACACGTACATTTTACCATATGTGGCGATATGTTTTCCGTTTGCCGCCTGTAATTTTGAAAGCGGTTCGTGAATTCGGTGGTTAGAATTCGCTGGAAGAACGCTAACTTCTGTGCCGGTATCGAAGACGTAGAAAACTTTTGTTATCACATCAGTGACTTATAACATACGGCTGTGTTCGCCGGCTACGTATGCCGTTAACGCGTGCCGGCTGAGAAGCCTCCTTGATTGGTTTTCGTGTCAGTAGGTTTTGAGTTCGGGAAAGTGCAGGGTTTTCTGCAATTTCTAGATTTTCCGTACTGGTTATGATACCAGCACCAGTCGGGGTTATCTGTCTCTCGTGGTCTAGAGACAGATCACTTAACTGAGGTGCTTCTTTGTGGGGTATGTGACCGTTTACGGTCATTACGAAATCTAAGATAACGTGTAAGTGTATGACATAGTCCCGTAATGCCATTCTCTATCGCTTGAGGCTTCTCTTTCACTGAAAAAATCTCGACATTAGACCTGGTGATCTCTGAAACATTGTCGGCAGATTCAGCGAGCTCGTTTTTTAAACGAGACCAGCACAACCTGCACCTGTTGAGGAAGTTTATATAAGAAATGTTCAAATAGTCCATCAAAATTTCTTCGGCCAATCACGTCTCCCGTTCTTAACAACATGTATGTCGTCGAACCGTGTTGCAGATCGATATTATTAAAGAGTTGATCTAACCTTTGCCGATCGTTTAGCTCTTCTTGTTTAAGAATGGAACGTTTAAGAGTTTCGTATGGTCCCAAAACATCACTAGTAAACATACTAGGTGCTACATACCTATTAAATTCGCGCGAAAGTGCCTTGACGACTGCGAGGAATTGTGCACGTGTGTCGTTCACTTCGTGCTCGTAGAAGTCGGCCTGTTCGTAGCAGAACCAGGTTTCGATGTTGTCTGGCCAGAAGGGAAGTAATTGGATCGAAGATGGGGACATAGTCTTCAACACAAGTATCTTAGCTGTCTGATCCGTCATGGCGAAATATCAAGTACAAGAATGGACAGGGGAAAATATATATCCAAAAATACGGAAAAAATATCAGAATATATAAAAACTAAAATAAAGCAACGATATATAGAATCCAAAAATGAACAGACTCACAGTTTGCAATTTGGTGTAGCAGATCACATCGGGCCCACCTCTCTCCACTGTTCGATTCAAGCAATGGGGTTAGGCAGGGTTGCCCAATCTCACCACTCCTCTTCAACTTTGCCATCGATGACATTCTGGAAACAACTCTGATGGATGTAGGTAATGGCGGTGTGGATCTGTTGCCTGGAGAAAGACTTCTCGACCTTGAGTATGCGAATGACATTGTCTTACTGTGCGATAATGCTCAAGCCATGCAATCCGCACTTAATCAGTTGGCAATCAATGTCCGTAGGTATGGTATGTGCTTCGCACCTTCGAAGTGCAAAGTACTTCCACAAGACCGGTAGGATTCTAATCCTGTACTCACCCTGGATGGTGAGCAGATAGAAGTAGTCGAGAAGTTCGTGTATCTGGGTAGCTGCATAAGTGCTGGTGGGGGTGTGAGTGATGAGATCAATGTACGTATAGTGAAAGCCAGAGCGGCTTATGCCAATCTGGGCCATCTTTGGCGCCTTCGTGATGTCAGTCTGGCTGTAAAAGATCGGATCTACAACGCGTCGGTGAGAGCGGTTTCGCTCTATGCTTGTGAATCCTGGTCTCTCCGAGTTGAGAACGTTAGACGACTATCTGTGTTCGATCATCGTTGTCTCCGAAGGATTGCTGACATCCAGTGGCAACACCATGTCAGTAGTAATGCAGAGGTTCGGCATCTTGTGATCGGGCACAGAGACGATAATGCAATTAGTGTCACCATCTTGAAACATCGACTTCGGTGGCTTGGACATGTTCTACGAGTCGTCCCAGAGAATTCCACGTCGTGTATTATTTGCCGACTCTGGGACTGGTTGGAGAAAGCGGAGAGGTGGTCAGTATATGACACGGTGTCGTGGTATGAAAGAAAGTTGCAAAGGGCTGGCTTCTGTTGGTCCTTCACGACTCCCTGGTTGGGGTCCTAGAGATGGTGCGACACTGGCTAGAGACGTTGTCAGATATGGCTCAGAATAGAAGCCAGTGGCGACCCTGCTGTAACCTTCTTTTACTTTCTTCGTAAAAAGTGGTTGTGTCTCCTTTAACTGAAAGATTTCTTCTGGTTGTACCTTTCCGTTCCCTCGTTATTACTATTATTATTACTACACTACCTTACACCAACCTCTTCGTTATTGTTCTCTTTTTTTTTCTCTTCGAATTCTCATTGTTTTGTGTGGCGCATATATATTGGCGCTCTCCTGTACCAATATTTATGTGTTCAAATAAATAAATAATATATTAAATAGTTTAACAACTTTTTAATCAGTAACACCTCCTACTATGAATCGTACCCACCAAGTGAAATAAAAACTCAGAAGCGAGGGGTTTGAAGATATGTTTGATAGGTTATCAATGTATGAAGAATCTACTGACCCAGACTAGCTAGCGATTGCGTGGGATGTTGAGTAAGGCGTTCCCACTCGTGATCTGGTGCGGATGCATGACCGAGCGCCTTAAGCTAGGTGATTCCATTAAAACTAATGTGGTCAGCATTCAGTGTCGAAGACTTACAGAGCAATTTATTTTGGGGATTTATTTACAGCTACAACAGAATTCGCAATCTGTACACTTTACATGGTCTAGTAGTAGTTCCTTGAGTGTTGCGTAGGAAAGTAAAATTAGCCTATCTGAAAATGCCAAGATTTTCAGTAAGCTGTTGGTTTCTGTTCCGTTGAATCTAAGGAATTGGGCCACAATGTTACCATTTTCAACATCTTCCTCGGTCATAGTCCGGATTTCAAACCTTTCCATAACCACAGTAGGAAACGTAAGTGGTTTTGGAGATTCCCCATCCTACCCATACAAGCTTGAGAAGCACAAAATGCCAAGGCCTGAATATCCAATACAGCGGATCCCAAATTCTGTCAAATCTTCACTTCCGAGTTTTTATCTTGAAAAATACTTGGGTTCTTATCAAAACGTCAGGTGATTAGCCTGGTCAGATACGAATGTTTGAGTTACGAGTTTTACATGAGTTACTCAACATAGAGTATTAAACTCACAGTCCTTGGTTTTGTCTCATCGTCAACCGGATTAATGAGTATTTTAACATGAATAACGTGTTCTGCCAATGTTGTAAACGCGAACTTTTAGTGACATGATATCTGACTCCCATAATATCGTATGAATGATTGTTATCTAAGTAAACATGTCGTCAATCCTCTTATAAAATTATCGACTTAATTCGCGTTAGTGAATAACGGAATTAAATAAGTCAAATACGAGAAAGAATTTGGAATACGTGTATTTCATACAATCTTCGATCCAGACAAAATATCGGAGAAGCGAAGAGAAGAAAGCGATGTGAAAGGACGCGCAGCGGAGAAGGCGTGTGTACCAACTCCATTTAATCAAGCGTTAATCAATATTTATAGTCACACAAAAATAAGCTACAGACATGTGATGAATAAGACAGGAAGTGTACACACATACGCTCATATTAAAACAGTCAAGGTTGATAAGCGAATAATTAAAAAGGTCAAAATGTGACACAACTAGAATGAATAGATTGGCCTGTCCGAAAGCTAGAATAGGGAATATGGGCCTAACATATCAACCGACACTACAAACTCAGGGGGATACCAATTTGTTGTTCAATGTGAAATCACCATGTCTTAAAAAAAATACAAGTCGTACATTCAATTCATTATTTGCACATATTCCACCAGTTGGCCTTCACACATTTTATGATTCTTTCAATTCCGTTGTTTTAATTGCTCCATATTTCCCTTCCTGTTTTCTTCAGTTTACTCTTCTGCTGGCAGGTATTGCACTTCTGATTGCTGTTACATACCACTAATATCTATCAGTATAAGCAGCATTCACTACACCAAGCCATCTTCTGGTAGTGAATTACTTACGGCCGATTCGACTAGTAAGTATTTTAGATGCAATACGAATAGCTTGGTACCTTTACACTTTTCCAGATTCTTTGTGATTTGTGTCCATGTCTTTTTATTCCATCGTAATTTTTTCCACACGTTCTAACTACAGGACACGTATCATTTACTATTCTCTTGTAAACGTTTGCTGTTATACATAATTTCACTTTCCTTTATTAGATCAGTGATGTTATGCTTATTTGAAATTTGAAACAGCGATTAAGATACTACTGAGGAAGTGTTAGAAATATTGGAAACGATGTGATTTTTGAAAAAAGTCGACGGGTAAAATTAAATGGGGAATTCAGGGACACAGATACTATTTTACGATTAAGTAACACCATGAAATTAAAAATTAAAAGACATGGTTATCCGAAATTCATACAGTGGAAAGTATGGCACATGTATTGGACACTTACAATAACCTAGAGGTGCCGCAGATATTTAGGGTTTTACAACACTTTTGTCCTTAAGACCTTCATAATCGAAGGATACCAACGCGGTCAAATCAGGAGTCAGAAATAAAGAAGTTCGAGGATATGTTTGGAAAGATATCTTTTTGTAGAGAAGCGTTTGATTTATGCTGGTTAGTAGTTGCAATAGATGAGTAGCACGGCACACCCAGCCGTAATCTGGTAAAAATGCGTGACCGAGCACCTTCAGCTGGAGCGTGTACAGTAGGACTAGTGAGGTCAGCGTCAGTGTTCAAGAATCACGGAATTATTTATTCTGGGGATTTATTTACCGTTACAAACCTAACCAAGATATTACTACATGAGAAGGAAGTAATAATGTTTGAAATAAGTAACAATATTTAAAACTGAAGTGGTATAGTGTAAATAAAAATACATGGCGAAAAACTCAACACCCTAAAGCAAGTTATGCATTGAAAAGCAAAACAGTAA